TTACTTTTCTGAACTGTTGAGTCTGAACTAGAGTATCGTTCCAATTGGTCCATTAACTGAAACTTTTTCTAGCCCAGTTATATTGGGCTCACCAATTTCCTGTTGGGCCACGGCCTTCGGTCCCACGCCGAAACAATACAGGACCCATAAAACACAAATTCAAAAGTCATCGGCCTCCTTCCCTCTTCCGCCGACGGTGACTTCTATCTCTCTCGGAGAAGAAGAAACGGTGAGGAGAGGATAGTTCGGTCGGCAGGTCCGACGACAGAGCAACGGAGAGTTGGTGTTAGGTAGCTCGGCGTTTTTGCTTCCCTCGCTTTTACATTCTTCTATCTTTAGATAATTCAAAAGCACTGGATAATCTGGGGTGCTTGCTCCAAAGTTAGGGTTTTGAAATGGAACCGCCAATTGATGAAGATATTACCGAATGGATACTCGAGTTCATTCTCCGAGCAACTTCTGACGAAGCTTTACAGAAGAAACTCCTCTACGCGCTCTCGACCTCTAATTCGCGCTTCCGCTCGCGGTTGACGAAAACGATGGCTCTGCGCTCGATTGAGTATGAGATCGAAGACGCATTTATTTCGGAGAGGATTCTAGAATGCCTTGAGATCGTAGATGAAGTGGATCGATTGCAAGGGCTTAGCATTATGGATTCCATGAAGAAGGCATATTGTGCAGTGGCAGTTGAGTGTACTGTTAAGTATCTTGCTTCCAGTTCCAACAGGGACGGGAAGTTTCTCGAAGCCGTTAAGAGAATATGGCGGGGAAGAATCGGAAATCTAGAAAAATCCAAGATTAGCAATTTGTTGACTGAGGAATTGATTGAATTGCGGGAGGAAATCGAGAAAGCTGTTTGGGATGAAGGTGTTTGTACTACACTTCTGGATAGAAATACCCGAAATGCTGCCTTGTTTTCGGTTAGGGCTTATTTGGAGGAAGCAATGCCATCAATGGGGCCAACAATTCTGGAACTGGGTAGTAAGCTGATGCGGACTGTTGGTGATGAACAATTGCAGCACAGAGTTAGTGAAGAAAATATTCAAGAGGGTGGGGAGTGTGTTGGTGATGAGAGGGCTCCAGCAGTAAAAGAAAAAGGTATTTTTCTTTCCATAGAAATGTAAGTGATTGAGTGAATCCATGGATTATGAGAAACTAATGCAAAATACTGCTTGGTACTGGTTTTGCCTTTGTTGAAAGCTTAATGCTGTTTTCTCTATGGTCTTGTAGAGGGAGTGTTGTTTTTGTTGTTTGAATTGTAAACTCTTGTGTGCCCTGTAGGAAGTCCTATGTTTTTTTACTTAATATTTGTTTTTTAAGTTCTATATTTCTATTGCACATCAAATTTTCTTTGCTTGCTAGATTGAATGTGTATACAAGCTGAATTATTTCTCTCGTCTTTTTAGTAACAAGTTCATAAAAAATCTACGTACAAGATTGAGTTGCAGTTATCTTTCTGGTGCTTGCAGAAAGGACAAGATCACCTGAAGTTAGACAAGCGCTTGCAGCACTCAAAGCTAGTACTTTGGACTTACAAACATCAGTGACAGACCCTCTACCTGAAGCTTTACGTGTGGCTGAAGTTATAGCTTTGGAGATGGCCAGGAAAAATGGCACTGGAGAAGTAGTGGATGCGGAGGAGGGTAACACTGAATCTGGTGGGGCTAAGGAGGTTGGTACTGCAATGCCATCTTCCAGCCATCCGAATACCTCTAGACAAAGTTTAATGGAGAGGAACAGCACTGCACGAACTTATGAGGTATGGAGTTTTATTTCATTTTAGTTTATATTGATTTCTTCCAGGTTATGCAGTTAATTGCTTCATATTTTCAGTTATTATTCTTTATAAAATTATGCCATATGCCTTCAGTTATGGTTCTTTTTTATTTTTTATTTTTCACTTTTTAAGATAACATCATTCATCAATATGACATCAATAGGAGTAAACTGAACTCAAACGTTCTGGCCTATTTGCCAATAACACTACCCTTTATACTGTATCTATTTTATAGACAAATGAACCAAGACACCTTTTATAGTGTGTTTACTTTTTGGTGAACGCAGCTGAACTCAAACAGCATGTTTTGTTACAATGTGAATAGACAGAGGGTCTATGGCTTGGTTGTAGGCTGGTTTAGTAATGGTGTTAGAGAAGGTTTTTGAGTGAGATGATAATAGAACATATTCAAGTTGATTTAGAAATATTCTTTTTGTCTATCACAATAGGTCTCATGGTTCCATGCAAAATTATTGAACATCATGAAAACCCAATTTATATGTATAGTTTCAGGCTAAAAAGGAAAAGATTGCTTAGCTTACTTCTATTTGTTTTTGTAGTGGGAGGATTCCATTTATGATGATGATTCAACTGAAGGAAGATCCAAGTGTATTCGATTGTCTAGTCCAAAGAAAACGGTTGTTTCTCCACTGAAGAAGGCAAATGTCCCAAAATTCGTGAGGAAAAGAAAGATAAAGAGATGGAGTTTACAAGAAGAGGAAGCTTTGCGGCTAGGTGTTGAGAAGTATGTAAAATTTTCATTTTATTATATATAATAAGACTAGGAGTCTAGGAGGGGTTTTTTTTTTTCAAAAAAAAAAGAAAAAAATCTTCATCTTGGTTTTATTTACTGTGCAGGTATGGGGTAGGTAGTTGGAAAATGATTTTAAAATCCAACCCTGAGGCTTTTGATGAAAGAACAGAGGTAATGTTTCCATTTCTCCGTCTCATTCTAATTGTCTGCCATATGTAATTTGTCACTCTTTTCTTACCGTATTACTTCATGTATCTCTTATTGGTATATATTTATCATTTGCAGGTGGATTTGAAAGATAAGTGGAGAAATTTGACTCGATATCAACGGTAAGAAACAACAATTGTAGGTATTTTTTGTACCGCGTCTACCAACATTGTATTGTTCTTTTTTGTTACCAAGGGGGAAATACATAAGTAATTATGTTACACCCTGTCAGTAGCTAATTTTACACAGTTCTCATCTGTTAACTCAGTTGGATAAGAAGAAAATATATAACCATGTTGCAAGAACTGTGATCCAGTTGCACTACGACAATAATTAATCCTTCAGCTACTAGCCAAGAACAGCTATTAACAATGAGTTTCCCAACTGTCAGACTTGGATTGACGGGCTGGACCTGT